TGTATGACTCAAAAAAGTTTTGGTCCAATACTTTTTTGAGCAACTGTTTATCTTGCTGATGTGCTATGCGATAAATAGCCACGAAGGTTGCTGTTATTGAATAAAATGGATTTCAAAATTTTCATACGAATTAGTTCAACAGCGAGAGATTGTACGACATAAAATGGCAAACTGGAATTGCCAAATTACCTTAGACATAGGAAGACGCATCCAATTTTTCTGCTTATAGTATTGACCTACTGAAGAGTCTAATAGTCTATTGCAATAGTTGTTTTATTAGTGATTCATGTGAAACTGTTATAGGAGTAATGCGTTAATTTAAACACAATGCATTTTTGTTTCTGTTTGATATTGGACATTATCAAGCAAATCAATATGATAATATAGTCTATATGAAATTGTCTGAATTTTCCTTACGAGAATTGTGTTCGATTTCTATAGGAATTTCCTTTATTATAGAGCATTTTGATAAGAACTATTTCCGTTTTTAAACAAACTGACACATTATCGATTAAGATTGTTATCATAAAATTTTATAAATAGATGTACAAAGTAGTATCTTAAGAAAAGTTCATTTTTAATCATCGGCAAATCAAATAAATAATCCTATTGATAATCAATTAAAATCAAATAATAAATCATTCATAGTCAGAGCACGGATATTAGTAGAAGAAAAAAAACCTTGAATCTATACATGTGTAGAATTTAAATTTAATATTAATACTGTTACATGTCGAGTATCATAAATAGATCTGAAAATAAAATTCTCATAAAATAGAACGAATATATTTTCCTATATATACCAGCAATCAAAGGAGGTTTTCGTGTTGAAGCAAAAACTTCAAATGTGGCTAATGCAATACTCATCGAAACAAAATTAGCAAATCGTATTAACAATTCTAATCAACAAAACATCAATAAAATATCTAAAACATTTACCACATAAAGTATCAATTAAAATAATCGGTGAACTATCCTATAACAAAGAAATTTTATGTTTTCTTCGAAAGAAAAAGAAAACAATTTAAAATATAACATATATACATCTCATAACATAGGAACATCATTTGGTAATGTTAATGTATCATTTAAAAATAATGGAAATGTATTATTTAATATAAGTTCATTACGTAATTGACGTTTTTTATCAAGTTCCTGATAAGAAATAAACTATTCATCGAAAAACAAAGACATTATAGAATAGTTAATAAATTAAGAATTCCTACTTCACTCAAACTAATTTTTCTTCTAATCAGTTTTGATAATAGAAGACAATCACGACGTAGAAGTAAAAATTGAAAATTTATGTGTAGAGGATGAATAAGATCAAAAAAAACCATGAGATAGTCATACCAGCAAAATGAAGAACAATAATAAATGCTATTAAATTTACAATTAAATAACCACAGATTTTAAAAGTATGTCCTGCTCCAATTAATAAGACATCAATGACATTATATTGTTCTCTAAACGAAAACTATAGTGAAGTATTTTGAGCAAAATTTAGAATTTTTCATTTATCTTCATTTTGACTACAAGACTGCTTTCTGATCAATTTTTGGTTGGGTTTTTTTTTATTGGGGTAGAGGTTATATTATGGGAAAATTTTACTAATATAGTTCATATTTAAGCATATAAATTTTTTTCAAAGGACAACTATGTCGTACGCGAATAGAAGGCAATAAGAAAGTCATTGGTTTTATGTTAGAGGAAGGATAATCTCTAGTATGAAATAGCATATTTCTTCAATTGCTATTTATGGACTAGTCATAAAATCAGTTTCTTTTCTTTATAAAATTCATGAAAAATATAGTGAACATTTCTTCAATTTAGGTTTTACTTTGTCAGAAAAACTCGATATCCTGGCTAAGACATAACTGTCTAGATTGTCTTTGATGATTATGTAAACAATTATATCAGCTTTGGCATGAATACAATGGAAAGAGCTCGAATTTTTAGCTTGTTGCTATCGAGATTTCGAATGTCTATGGTATTTTTAAGCCAATATTGTAGTCCTCTTGAAGAATATTAGGAAAGCTCTTTTTTGAATTTCCACTTAAAACTTCGCATAGAGACAGACACACCCACACTCTCAAATGTTTATTCATCGTTCATCTGCTAAAAGACTCTAATAAGAAATAAAAGTAGTTCAATAGAACCAGACTTACCTACTCTGTTTTATTAAGTGTTTGAAATAAAGTAAAATGCAAAAGTCTTTGTTCCCATGGTTTCATCTACTTCTCAGGGTGGATATGATGAACATGAAAATCAATCATATTCACAACTATGGCACAATACAAGGTACAAAACTACTACAATTAATATGTGATTCTCTTTTCCAACAAATTAATCAAAGATAACCATTGCAATTTTATCAAACGATTTAGAATGACCAAGGTGATTTTGTAGCATTTCTCACATAGAAATAGGTTCAATTCATTGAGATTTGACGGTTTCTCACTTCTGGACATAATATTGGAGGATTGACCAGAAAATCGTTTCAAATACTGCCTTAAATAATAATTATTTCGTTGCGCAAGTTCTGTATTTGAGAGTGTTGTCTTGCTTCAATCCTGAAAATAGGCAGAATTATCTTCTAGAATTGTCGATGAAGTGATTTGCAATAGTTTGAATGTAGTAATGGTTGTCGATGTCATCCTGAATTAATACCAGCCGATCACGGACATGATACTTAAACCACCCTATACTATGTATAATTTTCGCTCTGTTCTTCAGAAATCACTTGACTTCGACTCTTGAATTCTTTGGATATCGATGAATTGTCTCTCTGAATAATTTGCGGAAGGTCTTGCTAATTGGCATCCTTCAGCATCCGCATGCTAACATCAGCATCGCATAAAGCTAAGTACTCCTGCAACCAATCCGTGTGAGTTAGTGCTGTATCTTCTATAGGGATATGCGTTCATGTTGGTTATCAAATAGTTTTGCGTCCATTTTTTCGCTGTTGTCTCGTTCTTTCAGTGACTTCAATCGTCAAGAGCCTTAAATTCAAGGGCAGTGATATTTCGAGGTTGACTGTAACGACACCTGTTTATGATAAAAGACCGATTGCTGCTCTTCAGTACTGTAAAACAGTTTATTGCCTCAGTTTCAGCGAAGTAGGATTTTGTTGTCGAGGCATTTTCTTTCAAAGCACAACTGTTTAAGACAATATCTGGTTTACATTGCTACATATCGGCTTCTCCTCATCTTGTGCAGAGTTCTCAAAAAGAATGCTTATGTGAGGGCTAGAGCTTTTGAGCCTTACTATATCTCTTTTGGTTTAAGGCTGCTTAGCTGTAAGTTAATACTGAAAAGGAACGAAGAATGATATTTCCACGAAGAAATGGCATGCTTTTTTTTCGCGATTTATGGCTCGTGTAGCTTTTATAGGCTTGAACTCAAATGCATAAAAGGACTCTTTGGTTCGTAATAGAAAACTTGCTGATACAAATGTCTTTCATGTTTTGCTTTTTGACACTGTAAAATATTTGGTTCATTTCTAATAAATACTAAGTCTAAGAAATATTCTGATCACAAATTTGAAAAGAGAACAAAATTCTGATTTTAGTTAACTACTTTTGATTCTCAATAATTACGTTTATATAATCGAAAAATGAATATTTTGTGTCAAGACTTTTGAAATAGAGGTTATGCTGATTACTTTATTATAAATTCATCAGAAAATGATTCTGATAAATTTTGATGCTAGATGAAGAAAATTTCGACGATAATTATTTTATAATCATCGATTATTAATTAAAACAATAAAAATTTGTTCAATTGATTTTATATGAATTTTAAATGAATAAAATTAATCTATTAATTATGGAAAAAGAATTTGTCCAGTTATTGAATTTATTTTGAAAATATTTAAATTATTATCTTCAAGTGAAAATTAAAGATTTTTTTTAGTTGAAAAACTTGATTGAAATGTATAGATATTACTTGCGTCATACTGGTCTTGGAAAAACAATACCTGTTCCAGCGCCAATATATGCAACAACACAACATCATTGACTTTATTTTAATGTTCATTGTATTTCAACAATGAATAAATAAATAAATAGATATAATTCATTCTTTTTTTGTCTGACACATATTCTATTGTTCCAATCATATGTATTCATTTGCATTCAATTAATGATGATGAATATTGCAACAATTTCAAAATGGTTCTATGACAGTTTTATTTTGTCGCTCTTATTTCTTCAAAATTCATTTAGATTCATAGCGAAAATACGAACATAAAAATAAAGAAAAAAATCTCATCAACATTATAGAACAAAGTAGCAACATAAATAAAAAAACGCTGACAAAAAAGACAAAAGATTACATGACAACAAAAAAAAACTATAAATAATGAAAACATACGATTATTGTGAAACTGATGACGCTGACACACATATATATAAAGAAAAAAAAAACGAAATTAAAATAATAATGATCATCAAATTTTATTAAATAAATTCAGTACACTGTCGGATTGTTTATTGGCACGATATTTTGTAAATACATTCCAAAAAAATCGAAGTGTTTCATCTTCAGTACCTGTCACTATTGATTCATCATTTGATGATACAGCTAAATATAATGTACGAAATGTACAGTCGGGGACAAAAGTTTAAGCGAAATTAATTTTTCACTATTTTTTTTCTCATTTCTTTTTTACTATTTTTTTCCATATTATCAGGTATAGGTTTGAATTAAATGGTGATATAGAGAGTATGAGAGGTCAGCTACATGATGTAGTACAGAACGAGACTCTATCTCCATATATAGATTTTTTATAACTAAACTAATTTTTCTCTATGCAAAAAGAGGTTTAAGTGTCTTTTAGTATTTTGCATTTATTACCGAAGAGACTTATACTAAAATAAAACAAAATTATATCAATCGATAGAGCATTTCACGCTCTACCAGATTATAAAAAAAGATTTTTTCTAAAGTCGATCTTCGTCTCAATAACCTAATTTTAGCGAGAATAGTCAGTAAAATGCAGAAAGATGAAATTAGTTCGTGTAAGTCATCTTCCATTACAATATTCTATAATCCATTGGAAAGAGCATTCAAATTTGAACAAAATGTTATATTGGAAGTTCAACTGTTACTTATGTTTCATGTCCACTTGAATAGAAAAACGTTTTGAGAACCATAACTGGCTTCTTATTTTTTTAATTATTTTGACGAAAGAAAAATGCTCACTATTCTGAAAAAAACTAGGTTATTGAGATAAAGATCGACTTTGGAAAAAATCTTTTTTTATAATCTGGTAGAGCGTGAAATGCTCTATCGATTGATATAATTTTGTTTTATTTTAGTATAAGTCTCTTCGGTAATAAATTCAAAATACTAAAAGACACTTAAACCTCTTTTTACATAGAGAAAAATTAGTTTAGTTATAAAAAATCTATATATGGAGATAGAGTCTCGTTCTGTACTACATCATGTAGCGAGCCTCTCATACTCTCTATATCACCATTTAATTCAAACCTATACCTGATAGTATGGAAAAAATAGTAAAAAAGAAATGAAAAAAAAAATAGTGAAAAATTAATTTCGCTTAAACTTTTGTCCCCGACTGTATGTCCTGTTAAACGAGCTAATTGTAACATTGATGGATATTTTCAAACAGTGATTTGATTTTGTGAATATCCATGTGTTGGAACAAGTTCATTTGAACGTTTAGATCAAGCTAAATTACATATCTAAAATGATATATATAAAAAGAGAAAAGTTTATTTCGGTAAAATTTACTTGAGAACCAGTATCAATACATTGTAAACTTTGTGCAGTTAATGTATTCCAAAATCGAATATATCGATCAGTTGTTCCACCACCATTTGCTAATAAACCTTGTTGATGGAGACTTCATGCAATTGCTTTGACAGCTGTTGTATGACCAGTATAAATTTGTATTGAATTTGAAAATGATTGATTTCATACTAATTAAATGATTATAATTTCCTCCACCTGCTAATAATTGTCTATCAGGTGACCATTTTAATCCACATACTTCTTGTCTATGCTCAGCTAATTTCCTTTCTTATTTACTTGAACATGTATCATTTTATAAAATAACTCAATCATGAGAACCTGAATATATACAATAATCGTTCCAAGCTAATGCATCAACATCCGTTGTATGACGTAAAAATGAAACTGTTTTACGATATATTGTTGCACCACAAATTTGAACAATACCTAAAAATGTTTAATGATTAAATCAAATTTTTCATGTACATTATTAAACATCAATCACTCTGATTTTGAAATAGAAGAACAATGAATAGATGAAAAGCAAACAATTAGAAAAACATACGATACACCATAAATTTTTTCATTGAATTTGATTGTGTTAAACCTGAATGTGTCCATGCTGTGTAATTGAATATTATTGAACTTTAATCTAATGTAAGTTCTATGATCATCATCATTTATAGTTTTCTCTGTGAATATTTTGTTTTATTTGACAAAAAATGATTGTAAAAAAAATAAATTTGTTTGTCTAACAAAATCCTCTTAAAATAAAATCTTTGTTTGATGTTATTCTCTGATGTACAAATATACATTACATTTTACAAGAAACAAATCTTATTATTTGAATAGAATTGAAAAAGAATATCCTCATTTTTTTTTATCTAATCAACGATCAATACAAATTATATTTGGAAACATCAATGGGGTAAGTGCAGCATTTCAGCACCAGATTTTGCTTCAAGGTGCCGAAAAATTGCTCAGGTGCTGAGGTGCCGAGAAGGTGCTGAAGTGTTGGGAAGGTGCTGAGGTGTCGAGAAGGTGCCGAGGTACTGAAAAAGTGTTGATAGATTTTTTAAAGTAAGGTAAAAATTGAGATAGTAATATATAAAAACCTGATGGTGCTTTCTTCGTTGCACATTGTTATATTATTCCCTTCACTGTAGTCAGGATCCTAATCTCGAAATTGACTGTGTGTTTGCGTGTTTGTCCGCAGGCACTGTTAGGTCCAATGTCACAGCAGAAACAAATCCTTTCGGGGTACCCTTAGGTCTTCAAGTGCTATATATTGGGGTACCCATAGGCCCTTAAATGCTACATATTAGGGATACCCTTTGGTTCTGAAGTCCTATATTGGGAGGATACCTTTAGGTCCTCAAGTCCTATACTATGGAGTACCCTTAGGTCCTCAAGTCCTATACTATGGAGTACCCTTAGGTCCTCAAGTCCTATACTATGGAGTACCCTTAGGTCCTCAAGTCCTATATTGCGAGGGTACCTTTAGGTCCTCAAGTCCTATATTGAAAGGGTACCTTCAGGTCCTCAACTCCTATTATATATGGGTATCCTTAGGTCCCGAAGTCCTATTGTATAGCGGTATGGGTGTAACAATAGCAATACCAGGTAATAGCAATTGGTATTGGTATTGGCTGGTATCGGTATTTGTGTAGGGGCTCTTGGTTCCACACATCAAATATCAATACTTTGAAAAAATGACAATGGATTCGGATTCCTCGACCTCGAGAGCCATTGATCAAACTTTATTAGAAATCTTTATTTTTGAAAAATAACCTTTTGTTCAATGAAAGAAATCAAATTCGAAAATTTTGACAAGCCAATTATAAATTCTTGATTCTTTCATCAGAAAATACTCTATTTTACGAAAATAACGATTTTTCATAAAGTTTCATCGAGGGTTTTTGGAGTCAAAGAATCTGAATCCATTGTCAGTTTTTCAAAATATTGATGTTTGACGTGAGGGACCAGCGGTTCCCTACGCCAATACCGATACCAGCCATTACCAATCCCAATTGCTATTGACTGGTATTGGTACTGCTACATCCATACCTCTATACAATAGGAGATGAGATATAAGGGTACCCATATAATATAGGATTTGAGGACCTAATGGTACCCCTATAATATAGGACTTGAGGATCTATGGGTACCCTCCCAATATAGAACTTTACGACCTAAGAGCACCCTTCCAATATGAAGAAGAAGAAGAAGAAGAATATCCGTGCTTTCGGCTACCTTTCGGTGTAGGGTGCTGTCCACGGGCAGTTTCATAAGCCCGATATTTTTCCTACAACTATTACTAGATGCAGCTCTGGACAGAAGGCCGACTTGACGCAGAGTTCTTCTCGCTCAATCACTTGAGCTCCCCATACACACTGACAAACCACATACAAGCTACGGGAGCTCTATTGTACTCCCAATATAGGACTTGAGGACCTAAGAGCACCCTATAATATAGGACTTGAGAACTTAGGGTACCTCCCAGTATAGGACTTGAGGACCTAAGGATATCCCACAATATAGGACTTGAGGACCTAAAGGTATCCCTAAAATATAGGACTTGACGACCTAAGGGTACCCCTATAATAGGACTTGAGGATCTAGGGGGACCCTCCCAATATAGGACTTGAGGACCTAAGAGTACCCGCATAATATAGGACTTGAGGATCCGAGACCCCGCCATAAGATTGGCAGATGAGGATTCAATTACCCCTCCTGGGATAGATAGGAGGACTCAGTCCGACTGGTATCCACTCTACTGGAACTGGTGCATTCCTAGTTATAGGCTTAATAAGTACAAAGACTCACCACCAAATATGCTATAAGGTGCTGGAAAGATGCTGAGGTGTCGAAGGTTCCAAACCTGCACTTACCCCCTTGGCAAACATACATATAGACAAATAAAGCCAATACAATATATCAATAACTCTGTCTGTACTTGTTAAAGTATATCTCTATGTAAGAAAAAAAAATTCACAAAATGATTTATTATTGACTTAATCTTAAAACAAATTTCTAGTAATTAGTTGAATAAAATTCAAGATGATTTCTTTTGGATCTTTTTATTTGTCTTTCTATTGAATCAGTCTTCGTAGTATTAAAACTTAAGAATTATTTTTCTTTTCATTTTTCATATAGAGTTCTAGGTAGGAATTGTCTTTCGTTCATCTAATAATTGTGCTTTTGATCAGGTAAATTTCATGATTCTGCTAATATATTATATTATGAAAAGCTGCGAATTTATAATTCTATGAACATCGACTCGAATTTGCATTGTCTTAGATTTCATCTAAAACATAATTATTAACAAAAATGATTATCTCATCATTTCTACGATTTAAATCACAAAACATTCATGTATTATTCTCATATATTCACTTTTGACAAATAATTAATATTCTTTTGAATTTGTTCTTTTCATAAAATAAATTAAAGAAACACATTACTCATAATAATATCTTTATTAAACTAATGGAATACCAATCTTACAATGAATGGATATCATTTAGAGACTTTTTTTTTTGTTTTACAGAAATTGTCATCTGATGAAATCTCAAATTAAGAAAATAACTCAATTTCCTCTTTTCAAATATCTATTTGCCATTTAAAATACAAGAGTTTTCCATTATAAAAAGTAAAAAGATTTATTAATTATTTTTATTTTTTATTGACACATATTAAACTATAATGTTAAATAGAAAGAGAGAAAAGAATATTATTTGATTAATACATCATCAACTTAGATTATACAAAAATATATCAATGTTTTCATTGACGATATCAGTCAACCAAAAGATATGAGTATATAACCCCCAAACAGACTGAAAAAATAAATTGAATTAAGCAACATAATTGATCTATTCTGACTAAAATCATCTTTTTTTTATAGACGATTTATTCATTAATTCAGTTTTAATTCGTCGGAATTTTTTTCAGTCTATTTGGAGCCTATATATATGCATAAGCAAAGCAAAAAAAACACATCATAGAGGAAAATAAACATGGAAGATTCATTTATTCAATTGAATTATTTACCTGATGAAATTCTTATGATTATTTTTAAAAAATTGAATAATTTTGATGTACTCTATTCTTTAATGGGTATTAATAAACGACTTGATAATATTTTACAAGATTCAATTTTTACAAGATATTTAACATTGACAAAACCACCTATTGGTTCAAAACAATTTACTGATGCAATAATTGATCGAATTTGTGTTGAAATTTTACCTAAAATTCATGGTAAAATTGAATGGCTCAATATTGAATCATCATTTATTAATCGTATTCTTTCAACAAATTATCCTAATTTACATACACTGGTTTTACACAATCTTTCATTAGAAAGAGCGAGAGATCTCTTTACTGGTAAGATATTTTCTTTTAACTTTTTCAATGATTAATTCTATGAAAATATTAAAATAATTTATCTTTATATAATCAGAATTTAATTTAAAACATATTTTTTTTTTACTAAAATACTTTTCTTTCTAATATTTATTAATGAATATGAATTTGAAAAAAATTTAAATATTATTTTATAATGACTTCAATTAAAGTTCTTTGATTTTTAAAGGAGAAAATTTGTAATATAGAATAAATAATCAAGATAAAAAAAACACACATTGACGATAGAATATATTCTTATTAAAGAATTTAAATAAAGATCATTTATTATTGATTTATAAATAAGAAAAAGAGAATTGATTATTTAAAATTAATTAAAAAATAATTTCATAAAAATATTTAATGTTTATTTAGATGGAAGTTATTTTATTTGTGTTTTCGAATATCAATTATCATCACTTGTTATTCATACTGATCAAAGTCAAAAAGCAACAAGTTCATTTAAAGATATCAATATATTTCTATATACACAAATCTTGACTATGTTCAAGAATTTACAATATTTAAATTTCAGTCCATTTGCTTATCCTAAGAGTCATCAATTAACATTTAATTTATCATTTCCAAATGTTTTCTCATCAACTCTATTACATCTACATGTCACCGTAGATACTTTCGACGATTGTCTCTATTTACTTGATGGTCGTTTCAATCAACTTAATACATTCGATGTTACCATATATTTTTAAAATGTTTCTGAATCATCATTGATCAATAATAAAGTAAGTGATTGATATTAATATCTTTTGAATGAATCAATAATAGTTACATTGATTAACTATCGTTTTGTTTTTGTAGAACAATCTTCCCAATTTAAAATGCTTTCGGTTAATTCATAAATCGAGCGTATTGGTCTACGAAACTTTACTTATTCCACTTTTACGTCGAATGTCAAATTTAGAAGAACTCGGTTTGTATATTGCCAATCCGATTGGACCAATTATTGATGGTATTAATTTGAAAGAAAATATTTTCAATTATATGCCAAAATTAAAGAAATTTGAATTTGATATTCATTCATATATTCGTCTTAATAATCAATTTAATTTACCATCAAATGAAGATATTCAAAATACATTTAAAAATGTAAAAAGCAATCAAATAATTTCATCTATTGATTATTTTCCAAAAACACATCGATTTCATTGTCATGTTTATTCATATCCATATACATTGATGTATTATCAAATAATAACGAACAATTTTCCTGGTGGATTATTTACATGTGTTCATCACATATCATTAATGGATGAACGTCCTTTCGAACATGAATTTTTTCTTCAAATTGCTAAATCATTTCCATTTATCAAAGACCTACGTTTATATAATTCGGAACCACAAAAGAATAATAAACAACAACAGTCAATTATTGAATATCCTTATCTTATTGTACATGATCTTCGTAAAATTCATGCAAATTATCTGGAACTATTTTTGAATGATACTAAAATGTCTTTATTAAATGATATTATTCTTCATGTGAATTATGATTTATTACAAAGTGTAACAGACAATTTTACAAGAGATGCCACACGAATCAATTGTTCCAAAGTCCAACGTCTATTCTTATACAATAAACAAGAATTATCTCCAGGTCTAAAAGACTATTTTCCTCGTGCAGCAATATTGTGATTATTGTTATTTATTTTTTGAATAAAATTTGAAATATAAATAGTAGTATCATCATCATGATAAAAAGCCATAGGTATACATTGTCCATTCGAACATTGGAATTCATCATCTTGACATACATGAATTTCAATTTTCCAACAATCTTTTTCATCCGCTTTATCATCGATGCAATCAACTTGATCATCACAAATCTCTGTCCAATCCAAACAAGCTGGTGATGGGCCACGATTACATTGTAAATAAGTATAACAGTTTACATCAAGACTGAAGTATCGCTCTTCATAGTAATCATTGATCATATCATATGTAGATGAATGGTTTTTATGAACATAGTTAATTTCATATTGACATAACGAACCAAATCTTGGCAATGTACAATTATAGAAAATTTCTCTTTCCAAAGATCGATTATTTGATATTGACATTTGATTTAGATAGAGTTGATAACGCTCTACCACGTCAATCGGCACTGACCAAAGATATAATTCATAACTAGTAATATTCTCTTTCACAAGTTCCGCAAAAGTAAACTTGGGAAAAATATGATTATTTTCTATATGAAATTTCGATGGTAGATCATCCATACAATAAGTTATAAAATCACGGCTAATATGCCATTTATCAAGTGAAGCATGTACACGCAAACAATCATGTTGCAATACATGATTATTGTCACTTACCCAATCTGTGTAATGTAGATTGATTTGCAAGTTAGCAAGAGCCAGATGTAAAAGAAAACAACCCAATGGTAATCTCACATAAAACATTACTGCTTGATAAATACAGTGAAAACTGAAAAAAATCAAAGATTATTTATAATATTGATGAATAAAGTTGGGTATTGCTGACGCTGACATTGAATAATGCATATTATTTCTAATAAAAAAAACTGAAAATTTATTAATATTCATGGTCTTTATTTTACGTCAGTTGTAAGACTTATTACATCTTATATTTGATTGATGAAGCAACTTGAAATCTTGCCTTGAGATCAGATATGAACAGAAACTAGACAAGTGTTTCATCATTTCTAGCAAGTTGCTTTTCTAGAATCACTGGTGAAAGTCAGCTTAATATGTGACTATCTGAAATTCAATAAGTTCATCAGGAATCGATTGTGGATCTACTAGATGATGATCTGATGTATGTTAGGAAAAACTTCATGGAGAATTTTTTCAGAATTTCTTCGTGTCCTGTTTGATTTTTTTTTTAATAAAAAAATATTAGATATGATGTTGATTATGTCAACAGAAAGGAGAAAAATATTCTTGTCTGAAGTATAAGGTAAAAAGAATCTTAACTGATTGATTAAGAAAAATAAGAATATGAACAGAATTGCAAGATGTCCGCTATTAGTGATACAGATCTTCTATAACAGTATTGTAATGCTTCATTTTAACTGAAATTTTTCTTTCGACTTAGTACAAAAGTATGAAATGTTACAAAAATGCTCATCTAGACAATGATGATGAATTCATAATTATGAGTGAAAATCCATTCGTGACATTATAGGCTTAAGATAATAAGCAATTATTTACAAATGAATTCCATCCTATAGTCTGTTATTAGTATTGAATTTCAACTACCATTTTTCTTACATATATCAATATATAAACCGAGAACTTATTCAATAATGTCGGTTTATATAATATATGATTTTAGATCATCAATGTACAACAACAATATAATGTATTTCTTGCTTCATGATCTTCATTCAACATATTGTAGAAATATGTTTTGCTTTCTTTTCAAATAACAGTAGTAAGAAAGCAATAGTTCAAAACTAATTTAAAATCTTTCTATTTTATACTTCAAAATAATAATCTCAATACAGTTATTCTGCAAGAAATAATTTTTCTTAATATTCTTTTCAATATGTCATATCCAATGAAATACCTTAGAATCATACAATAATATTAAAGATTATATTTATTAATTTTCATTTGATTGATGAAATATAAAGTTTGACGTTATTATGCTGCATTCATCATCAGTTTTATTACATCACTATTTATTAAGAAATATTTTGTTCAAACTTCTTCTATGAATTAGAAGAAAAAAAAATTTACAGATTAATCGAGATATTATCATTTTCACTCAATGAATGAGAAATGGAAATTCGAAATATATGGGTAAAAATTATTTACTGTTTGATTCAAATACATAGCGGTTGTTGTTGTCATGCAAGCGAAAGTAAATGAATGTTAATGATTATCAGAAATTTTATATTAAAAACAATGTAGTTTTGAAATAATGGTTTTAGTGTTTTTACCTTAGATTTTCATTCATCTCTTCGAACAATGGAAATTTTTCGTTTTAATCGATTCGATAGCCATCTTTAACATATATTGTAAATACCGGGTGGCCCAAAAGTTAGGAAAAATAGTATTTTTTTTTTTGATATCTATCTTATAGATTGTTGCTTAGGCCTGATATTTATATCACATATACTAGGTGTGATAAATAGAAGACTGAGCATATGAACGATATGTAGATGTAGTAATTGATCGAAGAGCATACAAATATAGTGTATGTAAAAAAAAGAAAGCGAATATTATTGTTTGTTCTCTTATAGTACTGATATGTGTGAGGAGTGGCATCTAGAAGACAACAATACTAGTGGTTATCTCTTTTATCGACTGGTTTATTTTTTGTTTCTCTTTACATTTTCTGTTGTTTGTATAACTCTAACTTTTTTCACATTTTCTTTACCATGAGTAAAAGTTTTCATTTGTCGTTACGTGAAAAAAACTGAAATTGTGAAATGGTACGCCATTCACCAAAATGCAACTGAAGTTGCTCGTCAATTTCAAAATCGTTTTGATCGTACTCCTCCAACATCAAAGAATATTTTGAGTCTTGTACGGAAGTTTGACAAAACTGGAAGCCTCGAAGATAGACCGCGATCTGATCGCCCTAGATCCGTTAGCACCAATGAGAACAAAGAATGTGTTCATACTGCTTTTGAAGAAAGTCCTGCAACTTCAACAAGAAGAGCTTCTTTGGAACTGAATTTGTCTAGAAGTAGTCTTCAACGAATAATGAAAGAACTGAGATTGAAGCCATTTCGTCCGCAATTGCTGCATGCTTTAGATGAAGATGATCCTGAGAGATGTTGTGAATTTGCCGAGATCTTTCTCGACTTGTTAGCTGACGACTCTTCCTTGCTTGATCGAGTTGTTTGGACTGATGAAGCTATTTTCAAGTTGAGTGGCCATGTCAATCGGCACAATTGCGTTTACTACGCTGTAGAAAATCCCCATGTTATCATTACTCAAGAAATGAATACCCCAGGCATCACTGTGTGGACTGGAATTTGGGTTGGAGGCATCATCGGGCCGTTCTTCTTTTATGACAACGTTACTGCAGACAACTATCTCGAGATGCTTCAAAACGATATTTTACCCTCTATTGCAAATGAAATGGATTTAGAAGAGGTAGTCTATATGCACGACGAAGCACCGGCTCATTACGCTCAATCTGTCCGACACTTTCTGGACAAAACATTTTCTGATAGGTGGATTGGTCGATATGGATGGATCGACTGGCCGCCACGATCTCCAGACCTCACACCAACTGACTTTTTTTAATGGGCTGTCATCAAGGAGCATGTATACGCGACGAAACCTCAAAGTCTTCAAGCACTAAAAGATGCTATACTCACTGAAATACGAAGTTTACCGGTGAAATTTTGTCAAAGCGCTTGATACTCAGTACCTGAGAGACTGGAACTTTGGAAAGACTTAGGTGGTAAACATATTGAACAATTTCTCTGAAGGATTTCATAATAAGAACACTTCACAAACACATACTTTTGCACGTGTTTTTTTCTTAGTTGGAACTTCTAATAAAAGTTTTATTGGAATTCACAAGTTTTTTCTTCTTGTTAGTCGTTCTGTATTTGAACGCTTTTAGATTATTTACTACATTTACATATCGTTCATATGCCCACTCTTTTATTTATCATACCTAGTATATGTGGTATAAATATCAGGCGTAAGCAACAATCTATAAGATAGAAATAAAAAAAAAAATACTATTTTTCCTTACTTTTGGGCCACCCGGTATATTAATCTTGATGATTTATGTAAATCAATTAAAGAACGAATTGATCTTGTTAATAAACAAATACAAACATTTTCTTTTTTTGATCAACATGAAAAATCAACTAAAGATTTATCTAAACAATCAGTAGAATTTCTTTGGTTTCAATTATTTAATTATGTTATTACTCATCTTCCACGAAACGAATAAGCTAAACAACAAATGATTCAAATATGTAAAGAATATTATCGTGGAAATACAAAAGAAATAAAATTAATATATGAATTTGAACAAAATTATCAATCACAAGATGCTATTCTTTGGTATTCAAAACAATCATTTATTTATAAATTAATTAATAAAGTATTAAGAACAGAAGATATTGATTTATTATATACATTTCGATTTTTTATTGGTGATCTTTCAGAAAATCTTCAACGCGAATATGAAAAGATTTTATTATCAAAAGAAAAAATTTTAAATGTTTATAGAGGACTAAAACTTGACAAAGAAGAGTTTAATAAATTAAAAGAAAATCAAGGAAAACTTATTTCAACAAATGGATATTTATCAACTAGTCGACTAAAATCATTAGCATTAAATTTTGCATTAAAACCAACAAAAAGAACTGATGTCATTTCTGTTCTTTTTCATATTCAATGTAATATTGAATTAATTGATAAAAATATAATTTTTGCTGATATTAATCAATTTAGTGAATATCCAGATGAACAAGAAATTTTATTTGATTTAAATGCTTGTTTTGAAATTGAATCTATTGAAGAAAATAAATCATTACAAATAATTAAAATGACTGTTTCGAATGAAGGACAAAAAATTACTAAAGTTTTTATTGAATTAACAGAAAAAGAAACAGAAGAACAAAGTGTTTCAATTGTCTTTGGAAGATTATTATGTAATTTAGGTGAATATGATAAATCACAAAAATATTTTCAACAATTATTAAATGATTCAAATGATGAAGATCAAGCTTGGATTGAATGTAATATTGGTCGAGTTCTTCATTTGAAAGGTGAATGGCAGGAAGCTCGAGAATACTACGATAGTGCATATGATCGAATGATGAAAAATAAGCCAGCACGAATTAAAGATTCCGCTGGTGTTCTCAACAACATTGGCATCATTCTCGATGATCAAGGCAAATACGATGAAGCTCTTGATTATCATCAAAGAGCATTGAAAATTCGAGAGAAATTTCATCCATCTGATCATATCAGCATTGCTGCAAGCCTCAACAATATTGGTGCTAATCTCTATGATCAAGGAAAGTACGATGAAGCTCTCGATTATCACCAACAAGCATTAAAAATTAAAGAGAAATTTTATCCATCTGACCATATCAGCATTGCTGATAGCCTCAACAATATTGGCAATATTCTTTTAGATCAAGGAAAGTATGATGAAGCTTTCGATTATCATGAACGAGCATTGAAAATTCGAGAGAAATTTTATCCATCTGGTCATGTCAACATTGCTGCAAGCCTTGGAAGCATTGGTGTTATTCTCCATAATCAAGGAAAGTATGATGCAGCCCTTGACTATCATAAAAGAGCATTGAAAATGAGAGAGATATTTTATCCATCTGGTCATGTCGATATTGCCACCAATTTGAATAATATGGGCCTTTGTTATGAATATCAGAAGAAGCAAAAGATGGCACTTGACTATTATCAACATGCTTTGACTATGTATGAAAGGTTTCTTCCTGTTGATCATCCAAGTCGACAGAGAACTGAGAGGAATATTCGTCGACTTTATGGAAAAACCTAAACTCATTAAAATACATAGTAAAGAGTCAAATTTCAAAAACGATGCAAAGATTTTGTTTTTGTGTTCGAACATTTATTTATAATTGTCAATATTCGATATTTATCGTGTTATAGTTTTGAAATAATTATAAAGATCTATACTGAATTTCGTTTAGTATATGATGAGCAAGAGTCATGAAAAAAAACTTTAGATGATAATCAAGGTTGATTTTCTGTGAATGATTAACGGTTAACAATTCTTTTATCTTTTCAATAAAATGATTTTATTAGTAAAAAAATTATTTTCTTTTACATATTAACCCTTCGTGGTTGTCCTGATTTTTGTACTTCGTAGTTGTCCTGGGGTCCGCCTGGACCTACCTATAGAAAATTACAAAAAAAAACGATTTTTTCCTTTCTTCAAGCGTTTCATTTGACTTATATGAAGAGGTGGAGATCTTTCTTTATAAAAACTAATGAGTCAGCTCTCGTGAAAACAATGTAAAGATGTATGATATCGCAAAAATTACTTTCTTTAATCGTTTTTGTAGCAACATTGATAATAGCTGGGAAAAGCATAGAATATATCAATCTAGTCTAGATGATAGGATTCTACGCGTACGTTGTTATATATATAATCAATTATAGAATTGAGAAAGCAAGAAACTTTTCTTTTTGAACTATAGCTACTTTTATCTTTCTCTTTATTATTAGAAAAAGCAATAAGAACTCAGTTTTTTTTTATCAAATTGATGATGTTGTTTGTATATAAATCTTTTTTCATAAATGTAAAGTATACTCTAATGTTTTTCCATGCATGTTTGACAAGTTACTGTTGTGACACTGTTGGAATGAGACAAACAAACATTTTGACCACAGCTGGAACATGTTTCTAGAACTTTATCAAGACTAAAAATATGCTGGTAACAGCATAGTTGTCGTAGGGTCCATCCGAACCCACAGCTACATTTTCCATCTGCTAGGCTTATCGTTGATTTCTAATAAGGATGCTGTAGACCAACATAGGACTAGAGATTAGATAAGGGGACTGGCCCGAAACAGAAGCTCTTGATGTAGTATTAAATAAAAAAACTGTGAAATGGGTCCGCGCGGACCCCACGACAACCACGAAGGGTTAATCACAGATAGATAATCCAACACATAATAAATCTATGAAGAATATAATTTTATTATTATTAATATAAAAAAAAAAAATAAAATAAAATTTAAAATCATTTTTTTTCCATTATGGGAGTTAAAACACCATGAGATAAATACATAATGAACGGTATAAAAAAAATAAATATTTATTTATCAGTCATAAAATAAATCATTTTTTTTTTGCTATTTTATAAATCAAAATAATTTTTAGTCATTGAAGATTTAATATCTATTGTTAATGTATCATTTACACATCATGACAAAAAAATGATCGTGGTATAAAATAATCTAATGGACCATTCTAAAAACAAGACAATAATGTCTTATGATGAAGAAATTTTATTAACACTTACTACTACTCGAGGACAATTTTGTCTAGCATACCATTCAATTGAATATAAACACATTTGCATTCCAAATCCAATGAATAAAGATGTCCATATAAAAATATTAAAAGCAATATTTTGTGTACGTTGTGGTAAAATAAGCATTGAAATAACTTTAGAAGAATAAAAATGAAATTTTTTTTTTTCTAAACTAAAAAACTTACGTCCTAAAATAGCAAATTGTAAAAATAATATTGGATAAAAATAACCAAATGATAATGCAAGTATATATTCATGAACACATGCACTTAAAAATATAACTGCATACATTGATACAAAACGATATTTAACACCAAATAACTAAAAGAGTAATATAGATAAAACTAATCTTTTCTTTTTTTTTTCTTAGATTTACTTTATGACAATCACGATAAATATAAGTATAAAGCCAATCATGAACAACCTATATTACACATAATTAAAATAGAATATAGAAAAAATATTCAACTTACAATATTCCATGTTCGATAATAAATACTCCATGAAGTAGCTGTCCACTAATCCTTAAATAAATAAATAATTTAATTAAATTAAAATAAACTAATAATGAACATACACTATAAAATTGTCGATCAGCAAAACGAAGCATTTCAGCAAATTAGTGAACTGCATCGGAGTCATTTCGGAGTCGTCATCGGAGTCAAATAAATTTCTTGCCAAGAATTCATTTTTAGCATTAGAAAGTTTTTGACTTGAAGATTTTGTTCTCTGATATTTTCTCTACAAACTGATGAATTTTGAAGATCCAATCGATGCCTTATCGAGGGTTTCTATCACGGAAGAAAGTCGGAGTCACAAAAAATCGGAGTCAATTCGGACTCCGATTTTCTTTCCTGACCGTAACCCTCGATAAGACATCGATTGGATCTTCAAAATACATCAGTTTGTAGAGAAAATATCAGAGAACAAAACCTTCAAGTCAAAAACTTTCTAATGTTAAAAATGAATTCTCGGCAAGAAATTTATTTAACACCGATGACGACTCCGAAATGACTCCGATGCAGTTCACTACAGCAAATGCATTAAGCCAACAATGAAGAAAACCATAGAAAGCTAATAAATATGAATTTAAAAACAAATATTTCAATTAGATCAAAATTCACAAGTATGAGTTTTCCGAAAATTTGAGATACTCGAAGAAAAAATTCGATAGTTTAGCCAAATTCGAATCCTTTTAGGACTTTTTATTAGAATACTATTTAGCATCTATAGACAAAAGAATCATTGAAATTGGAAGCAGAACATCTGAAGAGATTCTCTTGTATAAGAAGATTTCAAAGATTTTTTTAAATAGAATGAATATTTAATATTACTGATTTCAATTCGATGTCATATTAAGATTTGAAAACTTTCGAATGTATCACATAGAAATTTTAGCTCTCTATCAAAATCGATAGACGATTAGCGATCATATTATATACTTGACATTGAATATTATCATAATTAAGTTTTTTGATCATTAACATTTTTTCTTTTCAAATATAATATCATCCTTTTTTTATTTTTTTCTTTTACACCAATTCGTCAGGCTATCTATGACTGGCCAATTAAAATACAACCTTAGGTAGAATTCTTTTATTCACCTATTAAGTTCATGTAGACAAATATAAGAGCATAAAATGAATGACTTTTATTATCGAATGTATTGCTGATAGGTAGATCATAAATAATTGCATTCTTTATATTTTCAAAAGCTCTCATCTATTTGTTTTTTGCTTGATTGTCGAAGTGTCCTGAGCAAAGATCTCACTAGGTTGGGTCCAGTCTAATTCCATGGACCTAAATTTTTTTGAATAGAAAAAACATGGGCTAGATTGGACTGATTTATCATTACAGATAAAAAAAGCAAACACTGATGAATTCGAAAGAATTGAAGATTTTGCAAATCGTCATATATTTTTGTATACAACAACTATTGATACTTGAAATATGCTTGCTCATTCATATGTTAAAAATTTATCTAATACAATTAGATGAGTAGTCCATTTTTTCGTACAATGAAATCAAGTATAGAATGTAACTTTTGTTTTTTTCCTAGACAGAGCATTTTATTTTGTTTGCTAATGTCGATTTTTATAATTCCAATCCATAGTTTTAGTCAGTTCATTCCATAAATTATAATCTAACGGATTTAAATCAGACAGGTTTGGTGATTAATAGTTCTTTGGTATAAATGCATGAAAATAATCTGTTACACTATTCTTCACTAAGGTAATGCGTGTAAATGTTAAAAAACATTCTGCTAGCATCTCGTTTGCAAAATTACCCCACTCTTTCAGTGCACATCAGTTACGATTGACTCTTTAGATTTTCTTTTAAGGTAAATAGTCAAGATCTTCTTGCAGTATGCGCGTTGTTTCAACAGGCAATTTTCTTGTTGACACTGATTTTTCAGGTCAATAATTCCGACGCTCGGATCCATGAATTTCCATCAGATTCTCGAGTTTCCAGATGGAAATGACCCGTATTTTTTTGCCCGAGGTTTTTGAAAAGAAGACATCATTTTCACCTTTGAGACACATGTGGTCAACCAAGATGGTCGAATAAATTAATAGAGTTAATGCTATTAATCATTTTTAGCCACAAATTAAACATGTTTCAATCAAGGAAAAAAGTAGAGAAGAAGTTTTGAGAATACCAAAAGTGAGATTATTTATGATCTATTCGTTATTTTGAACTTACCACAAAATAAGAAAAGAGCTCCTGGTAAAGCACAATTAAGAATTGAGAGAACAAATATCTTGACAGTAACATATTCCAATTTAAAATGACGAAATACTGGTAAACAAAATCGATAAAATAAATAATAACCAAAGAATGCTGCTGCAACAAATTGTGCTAATTGTGCTAAAACATAGTTCCATCGTACAGATGATGTTCGAGGATACGAATCACGATAGATAAGTGTTGGTACAAAAATAAAATAAATATATTTAGAGAATTCTGGACATGGAGAATTAGGAATAGAATTTGATTTATTTTCTGTTATGTTTTCAGTTTTATCTAGGAGAAAAAAGACAATGAAAAGACATACATATGAAGAAATTGATATTGATGATAATTAACCTTTTTGTGAATAAATCTGACCATAAAGTATAGCACGTGGTGTATTCTCTCGTACAAATGCATGAGATTTCATTAAAAATCGAACCTAAAATAAAAATGCATAGTTAAAGGTACTTCTCGATTGGCTTAGAACTAATGAGCGAATTACAGTAGGCAATTTCTATGGAGTGCTCAGGATGAATAACTGATACAAAAAAAAATAATGAAATCTGGAAAAGAATATTTCGATGAAAAATCCTGGAGAAAGATTCATGCTGTCCAGAGATGGGCAACTCCGGGTATGTACCGCTCCAACTCCAGGTAACTCCGCTCCGATTTTCAAAAATCCCACTCCAACTCCAACTCCAACTCCATCTATGTACCGCTCCAACTCCGCACAACTCCGCTCCTATTTTCAAAAGTCCCACTCCAACTCCAACTCCTGATTGGTTTTTATAACTCCGCTCCAACTCCAACTCTACCTAGTTAAAGCCCAACTCCAACTCCGATTTAACTCCAATCCAACTCCAATTCTACTAAGTGGAACTTGTTTGAATACAAATTTAAAAACAAAGTTTTTCAATATAAATGTATGAATAATATCAACGAGTTGCACGTTCATTGTTCTTTTGTAGAAGTTTTAATATGTACTTAAAATATCAATTTAATAAGTCGAGATTACATTTAACAAATGTTAATTTAGACAACATGTCCTTTGATAGTCGACTTCGATGAGGTCTCATGAGTAATCCACTTTGCGAGAAGACTCGTTCAGCTGGAGCAGATGTAGCTGGAACACATAACACTTTCAATGCTAAACGATGTAAATATGGAAAATGATTCTTTTTCATAAAAATAAGATCAGTTTCATAACGTTGATCTTTCAAAAATAACATTATTTCTTCATTTATTTCATCCATAATATTAATACGCATTTTTTTTGGAGGCATTGGTGATGTTTCATAATAAGCGAAAAGACTTTTTCTTTTTGGTGTAAGACTATTGTCATACGAGTTTTTTCCACCAGATTGACTGTTATCAATAGCTGTTGATGTTGTTTCTGGTTGTGCACCATCAGCAGTTTGAACATTGCTAACAGAATCATAAACTTGAAAAGCTGCTTGTGCAACAATACGTTTTATCTTATCACACAAACGATTTCTAAAACAATAAATATACGAACTTTTTATTTCTAATGTATTCTAGAGATTTTATATATTTTTTATAAATTTTATCAACCAATAAAGGAGGAAAGATGATAAAAAAAGGCTGAAAGCTTATAAAATATTTAAGAATGATTGTGGTACTTACTTTATATCTTGAGATAAAGGAGATTGTAATATCCAACGAAGTCGAAACTGTCCATCCAAAAAAGAAGAAATAAGGAATATGTCGTCCGAAAACAGGTGGAATGTACTTCGACGTTTTATGTGATCATCGACAGGTATTCCAAGATTAAGAAGAAGTCCACCAAATCTTTCTTTTAATGAAATAATAAGTGCATTACATAATGAACTTATGTATTTGCATAATTTTAATTCATTTTCTAAATCATAATAAATTCCAAGTACACTTGGTGCCACAAGTGATATAGATACACATTGTTCAGCTTGTGTTCGATTTGTAGCTTCGACGAGTAACGTGAAAATTGATATAAATTCACGTAATACAGCTAAATCTTTCATTGACAGTACTAATTCAGGTTTTCTTTGTTCTGTCAGAAGGTCATTTAGAAATATACTAGGTATATCAATAATTTTTGAAACTGTAATAAACTGTGAATTCCATCTAGTTATGATAGCTAATGGAATACTAAGTTTAAACTCCTGTAGCTTTTCGGCTACTGGAATACTTTTGTGGCTTAATTTTGCAATCTCGGCCACTTTTGCCATTGCAGACCGAGTGCATGCGCTTTCATTTAAGCCATCTTTGACTACAAGTTGTAGTGTGTGAATGAAACATGGCAACCTTAATAGCTCCTCTCGTTTGTCAAATTCATTTTGACCTTCATCATCATCAGGAGGATGTCCTTCAGACACATTCAAATTTATTTCATTTTGATCATCATTATCATCACTTCCTTCTGTATCATCTTCAGTTATGAAATATGACTCAAACCCTGGTATGACTAATTCACCAAAAGCAGATAAGTTATTTGAGGCATTGTCTGTTATAAGTCTAACAACTTTATTTCCAATTGAAAATGCTGTTGAAACACGATCATATTCCATAAACAAATTTTCACCAGTGTGATTACCTACAATATTTTATTAATTTATGTATGAAACAGATCATTATTCGTAGTCGAATTCACAAACGAGTGATTTTTCTCATTCAAATAAAAGAGATTACTGTCTATTTTATTTTTTAATTTTTGTTGGATATAGTTGTGTCCACTAGGATGACTCTAATTTCTTTTTTTTCTTGTCTTCATATTCTATTTTACTTTCTGATTCTTATATGCTGTCTACGCACGAGTAGACACATAATAGATCGTTTATTTTTTCTTTTACAAAACAAATGGTTACTTTCTTTTCTCTTATGCAGTCGTTTTGTGTATAAAACACAAGCTATCAGAAAAAAAAAATTCACACTCGTTTTGTTTTCTTAAATCAATGTATATAGTATTCAAACTAAGGACATGCCCTCACATGACCTTTCATTTGTCCTTACTTTCTCTTCTGTTTCTCTCTTCTCTTTCTCATCTCTCTATCTCTAGATTCATTCTTCTTTATCTTGTATATAAAATGATTTGTGGAATGTGTTTGAAGATATATCACTTGCTTTCTTAAAATATAACAAGAATTCTAATTATAAAATATTTTTTAATTCGAAAACATCTTTGGAATACACAAAAGAATGAGGTTCGTTATTAATATTGTATGAAATATTTATTTATTCAAATTTGAGCTCATGATATTTTTATCTTGCTCATTTTTGAATGAACAAAAAGATAAAGGAAACATTTATCATAAGCCTCTGTGTGATTTCATAAGAAACTACTTTAATGTTAATATAAATCAAATAAGAAATCTTACCAGAAAGAGGATTAAAAGCGAGTAAGTGTGCTTTTAACTGACCCATATGATCGATATAATGCATTGTAATGGCGTAAAAAGCTCTCATACGACGATCTGTCCAACCATCAAATGTCAACGAAACAAAATCAGCTGATGAACATACATGTTTCAATTTGTTGGTAATCTGTTCGTGTATTTTTGGTAAATAATCAGATGCAATTGATCGTCGAGATGGAACACGAAACTTTGGATCAACTATCATCATTGCTTGAATAAATGCAGGTTTTTCAGTAATCGATAATGGTAAATCTAATCCAATTATAAAGTTTTCAAAAACCATTTTAGTTAATTCAACTTGACGATGATGAGAAGATCCATACTTTGACGTATGAGAAGATGAAGATAAACTATCTTCTAAAGAAATTTGTTTTAATTTATTTTCATTTTTTTTTTGTGATTCATTTTTTGACCACAAATCATATTCAGGTTTATGTTTACGTTGTAAATGTCGATAATAATTCGATGTAGAACCTTTTACATGCCATACCATTTCTTTGCATAAAATACAGATGGCAGATGTTTTACCTTTCAAATCACCTGCATTATATTCTTTAAAATCTTCATAATATTGTTCAAGGCCATGACGACCAATTTTTGTCTTAACTGTGCAAGAAATTTTATCATCATTGGAAGAACTTGTTTGTGCATCAGCTGTTGGAAGTGTCAGATCAATTGTTGTTATATTAGATGATGAATCCATTTGCATTTAGATTATTCACAAATAATGAAAAATCAGTAAGATATAAGTTCGATGCACCGAATTGTTTACCAGTTAATATTTAATCACGTCGCAAATGACTTTCTAAATTCTCTCTCTGTCTCTATTTTTCTCTCTCTCTCTCGATGTAATGATACGAGGTCATCTATTTGTAGATCTTTTAATTGCGTCATGAATACTAGATGCATGCACGCCTGTTTTTACTATTGATTTTTTCCGTTCTCTTCTGGCAAGTAATAGGAGTTAAATCGGAGTTGTAAAAAAGAGCATCAACTCCAACTCCGCTCCAGCCCCATTTCAACTCCGCTCCAACTCTACCCACAAATTGCAAAATCCCACTCCAACTCCGCTCCAACTCCGCTCCAACTCTACCCATGGATTATGAAATTCCACTCCAACTCCGCTCCAACTCCAATGAAAAAAAGCGCCAACTCCGGAGTTAACTCCAACTCGGAGTTGGAGTTGCCCATCTCTGATGCTGTCAAATTTTTTGTTCACAAAAGTTTACTTGAGGAATTACGAAACTATACGGTAGTGGACATCAGATTTTTACTAATACACAGTTGTTCGGAAAACCACTGTGTAAAAAAAGAAGCTGTTTCTCCTTTGAAACTATCATTGGTAATTAAACAGGTATTTTTTATCGACACTATGAATACTTATAATATATATATCTTGGTTTCAATGGTCATTACAGTGTATTCTGTGAAAAAACTCAAGTGCTATGAGGATGTCGTTACATTCAGACTTATTTTTAATTGACTGATTTTCTACTCTATTCAAATTTAATTGTCTCTACTTTCAAGAGATAAGTTTTCAAGAGATAACATCCAATTAAACTATTAATACGATCAATAGGTTTTCAAGAGCTATTGTCTAATGTCGTACTAAAAAAAACAAAAAATCATACATTAGACAAGATAGAATTTAACACATTAATTAAAATAAGTTAACGAGAAAAATCCCTTGATTAATCGCGTTTTGATTCGAAGCTATGTGTATTATGCAGACTCTATATTTCAGATCTTTTCATTGTTCCTACAGTAACATATGACTATGGTAAAACCTTGTCTTATACATTGCTTATATACACCGCAAATCAAATGATCTAAAACTTTCACAATAAACCATTCTCATTAAGGTCTATTTCTATACAAAGTTTCAAGTTGAAATTCGAAAAACAGTTTTTCTGCTACCACAGCATTCATTTAACAAATATCATAATAGTGCAATATCTTCGCATCAATGAGCTATAGGCGTGAAATCTTTTCAGGATATTCACAGTTCATTGGAATGTGCGTGATGCACTATCCATTATGAGGAATTTTTTTTAATGTATACTCAAAACTATGGGAGACCGGACTTTCGGTACAGGTGTAAATTGAGATCTTAATGACTCCTATAAAAAGCCTATATCAGCACTACGGAATGTAGTAACTAATTAAAGAAATAAGGTTTTTTTTTCTATAGAGTTTAAACTCGAGCCGCAATTCCTGAAAAACAATGGCAGAGCCAGAATTTAGGACTAAGAGATACTCAGAGCTTCCCTGGCGAGAATGATATTTCAATAGAAGCAAAAAAAAAAAACTTCTCATACTTGTTCTATCAAAATAATAATTCGTGTAACAATTGGATAATTTTCAGCAAGAATATAATGTACTGGAAAAAATAAAAATAATCCAATATATAGACAGTAGAAAGTAAACCATATCGAATCAAATATTACTAAAATAAAATCGAAATATTTATAATAAATTAAATCAATTTACATATTTTACATAGACTAGTTGGTTTTTTATTTGATTTTTCTGTTGTATTTAATGATGATACAATTGGAATAAATGAAAGACGTTTATATGCCCAAAAATGAAAACAACAATAAACACCTATACATGCTGATATAAATAAATAAAGCCAAAGATGTAAACATGCTGATAAATTTGAAAAATTCCAAAGAATTACATCAAATCGAAAATCAATTCTAAAATATACACACACACACTCTTACTTACTTATAAAGAAAAAAAAACGATTCACTTACGTTCCTAATTCAAATAAATCAGTTATAGCAACTTGTAAAAAAACAATAACAAGAATTTATATAAATATTTGTCTAATAGATCGAAAATGTGATACTTCAAGTAATTCTGTAAGGATTGATGAACGTATTCGAAAAATTTTTATTGGAAATGCTATTGATACTTTTTTATTATCATCATTTTGTTGATCTATTGATGATGATGATGATTCATCTTCAATTTTATTTATTGCTGCTAAATCTAATGCAGACATAATAGGTTGTTTAATACTATCAATTGGTTAAATATAAGTTGTTTGTTTCATTTCTGATGAAAATTCTTCAAGACGACCACTTATATAATTAAGCATTTCAGAACGAAAACGCTATTCAATAGAAAATGAATTATTATTTTAATCAAAAAAAATAATAATAATAATTACTTCAGCTGCATTATGAATTAGTACTGTTCGATCTACATAACGAAATTCTGCACCGGCTGATCTTTCGATATATTTAAATATTGATTTTACAAAAAAAAAAAAAAGACAATAAATAATAAATTAAACTAACCATAACTACGTTGTTCTGGTGATGTCATTCTTGAATTAATTGATGTGCCGAATACAAATGTTGATTTACAATCTAAAGTAAATTAATTTGTATTTGATATGTTTCTGATAATAATACTACAAATGTAAATATAAATCCCATACCCCTTATGTTATCTATTTATTAAAAAAAAACTAAACTAAACTAAAACACTCACTAGAACATTAGATTGAAGACATATCATTAATTGATGGCATTTTTTTTTTCGCAGTATTATTCTTATTAACAAATGTGTATTATAAATTTGTAGTAAGAAATATTTCGAAAAAAAACTCGATTTGTTGGATAGACGAACAGACAAAAAAAAACAAAAAGAAATTTAAATTATCGATCGTTGAATAAAGATTATAATAATTAATTTGATTGATTTGACATATTTCTTAAAAAAATATGTAATTAATGTTAGCTGTTGACATTCAAATAATCCGGTGCTATCTTTTTGTTCTATTCAATCAAATATTGCCTACACTCTGTTCGCATTCTTTGGAATATTTTGACATTCTAATCAGTTAGTTTGACTATCGGAAGCAAATCGTACGATTCATACTCTGTGATTCATTCTAAAATTCAGTTGAAAAATAAGTTTCAACCAATCAAAATTCATTTTAATTTCACTAAAATGATGTTTGAAACATAGTTTGATACACACAAAAAGTAACTACAAATTTCATAGTGGTTTTTGATTCTAGACCGACATATATGTAGAGGAAAACTTCCTCTATCTAATTGAGAATGTATTAACGCTTACAATTGACATTACATAGAGGACGCCAGCTATTGAAATGACAATGGTACGAAAAGAAAAGAAGTTTTCCTCGACAAACCTCTTAATATTCTAGGGTAAAAAAACTTGTCGTTATCTTTATATGAACTTTTGAATTATATTTGAGTGACATCTAGATAAAAAAAAAAATATTTTGAACTGAAATATTTCTTATTTTGAAATTGATCCTCCTCTTTGATGCTTTACTGATCGTTTTAAACACTATCTATCTATACCTTGGAATAAATTAAATTCGTCCATATAGATTTTTCTCTTCTAGAAACATCTCTCTCTTTTTTTGATAATAGATATTCTATATATAACCCTAGATAGATGATTTAAAACACAAACCTGACTGTTTTCATCTAATATTATCTAACTATAGTCGAAATCATATACGTGAATAAAAGAGAAAAGAAAAAAAATAGTGTACTTTTCGATTTTATCATCATCATCATTTTTCGTCTTTCTCCATTCGTACGTCGATAGCAGAATAAATATATCAAAATGACCTTAGCTAACAATACATCATTAAAGAAAACTTCATCATCATCTGGTACAACTGATTCACCATATCTTGGTTCAAAAATTAGTCTTGTATCAAAAGCTAAAATTCGTTATGAAGGTATTCTATATACAATCGATGCTAATGAATCGACTGTAGCACTTTCAAAAGGTAAGAATTTCAAAACAAAAAAAAAAAAAAAAAAACATTATGAAAATAAAATTTCTCTTTATTTTAGTACGTTCGTTTGGTACTGAAGATCGTCCAACTGATCGACCTGTACCTGCTCGAGATGAAATCTTCGAATATATTATTTTTCGTGGTGCTGATATTGAAGATCTTCAAGTACGCGAACCTCCACAAAATTCATTGACTCAAGATCCAGCAATTGTTGAGGTACATATTAATATCGAGATACACTTATCAGTTTATCGGTAATTGATATACACTCTTAACCATACTTTAATTATTATCCATTACTGATGAACTGATATATATATATATGTCACTATTGTATCTCTATTCAATATTATTCTTTGTTTTATTAGTCATCGGCATATTCGGATAATGTTCGTTCGAATTCAATTGGAACTAATACAAATCTTGGAGGTATTCAAACATCAAAACATATTTTGTTTAACATGCTATCATAATTTTAGGAATATCTCAAAATGGTCAAACACGTACATTATCAAATCGAGGTACAATGCCATCACCACCTATTCGTCAAAGTACTGGCAAAGGTTTGAAATCATCTGAATCATTACGTCCATTCAATTTAAATCAAAAACGTTCATCAAGAGGATTTAGTCAACAATCACCATTACGTCCATATGATGAACAAGATTATTCTTATGGTGGTTATCAACGACGTACTCGTCAACAAGATTATTATAATGATCGTCGAAATAATAATAATGAATGGTCACGTCAATCACAACGTTTTTCAAGACCATTACAAAATTATAATGATAATCGATTTTATTCAACGAGACGTAAGTTTAATTTTTCTCTTCAATATTTTCTTTTTTTTTTATGTTTATTATTTTTTCAAAGGTCAACAATCAACAGGAAGATTTAATTTTCGTCAACGACGTAATTCAACTGGTGGTATCCCTAATAATCAACAACAATAACAACAAACACGAAATAATAATCGTCAACAACGTGAACGTAGTAATGTTAATACTCGATCAACATTAAAATTTATTGGTGATTTTGATTTTGAAAAATCAAATGCTGAATTTGATAAAAATGCAATTGAAGATGAAATTAAAAAAAGTTTATCAATTAAAATAAATGATAAAAATGAAATAACAAATGATTCACCAAAAATTGAACAAGAAAAAGATAAAGATACTCAACAAATAATTTCATCATTAACAACAAAATTAGAACAACAAGATATTAATTCTGATGGTCATTATGATAAACAAAAAAGTTTCTTTGATCGTATTTCATGTGAAGCTACAGAAAAAGAAAAAATGTAAATTTAATAAAAGAAAAAAAAAAATTGTTTTTCTTATTTATTTAAATAAATAATTTTAGAAATGCTCGTCGTAATCGAAATGAAGAACGTCGTGTTAATGCTGAAACATTTGGTTTACAATATCGTTCAATACAATCAAATGGAAATCAACGTTTTGGTTATCAACGAAATAATAATGGTCTTTATCAACGTACAACAAATGGAAATTATGGTAATCGTAATGCTATGTACTATGGTAATGTAAACAATCGAGTGCGAGTCTATTAACATAAACGAACATGAATATATCTATGTACGTTTATAGTCATTTGATTAAATCATATTTCTCTTTCGTTTAACCTGTGACATTTTTTTTCTTATTCTTACTGTTTTATTTTTTTTTTTGATTGTTATACTTGTGCTAGATTTTTTTTTAAGCAAAGACGAATTATGTGATTTATGATGAGAGAGAGAGAAAAAGAACAAAAGAGAATATATAGACATGCTTTTATTTTATTTGTATCAAAAAAAAAAAGAATGTTTCTTTTCTTTAAAACTAATAAAAGTTTACGTGAAAAGATCTAATGAAATGTTTGATTTAAATTATTTGATCATAATATTGAATCAACATAAAGTAAAGATAAGTTCGACTCAGTATATAAATAACGGAATAGGTTTATTTTTAGAAATAAATTCTATAATGATCAAAAACGAGATTAGGATAAGATGTAACAAGAATGTGAATAATTTGCATTACTCTCCTATCTGCCGAATTTATGATTATGTTCATTAAAATTGCAAGTGTTTGAGTATGAAGACTCATACAGATAGTTCTAACGGGAAACAAACAAAATCCTGCAAAAGGTCGTTTTTTCTTTTAGATATTTTCGAATATTAATTAAATGGCTAATAAGCGTTATAATAACAATATATCAACAAATGATGATATACAAAAACGATTAAAACGTACTCATCAAATGGTTCCATCAAGAAAAGGACGTAAAAATAATGAAAAAGATATTCAAGTAATTTTTATATTATTTTTTTATATTATAAAAAATTCAATCTTTATTTTAGAATCAAATCGAACATAATGACGACGACGAGGATGATGAAGAATATGATAAAATAAAAGATTTTCAACGTGAACAAGCTGATGAAACATCATCAACAAATAATGTTCTTCGTGAAATGTCTTTACAATCAATGGCTAATAGTCGTTATAATGAAAATATATTAACAAATAATGATATACAACAACAATCAAAACATAGTCATCAAATGGTTGTATCAAGAAAACGACGTGAAAATAATGAAAAAGAAATTCAAGTAATTTTTATATTATTTTTTTATATTATAAAAAATTCAATCTTTATTTTAGAATCAAATCGAAGATAATGCCGACGACGATGATGATGAACCATATGATGAGGGTGTGGGTGTGGGTGGGTGTGTGGGTGGGTGTGGGTATGGGGTGTGGGTGTGTAGGTGTGTGATGAGAAGATATCCACACCCACACCCACACCCACACACCCACACCCACACACCCACCCACACCCACACCCACACCCCCACACCCACACCCACCCACACACCCACACCCACCCCACACCCACACCCCACACCCGCCACCCACACCCACCCACACCCACACACCCACCCACACCCACACCCTCATGAAACATCATTAAAAAAATGTCCCTGGTTGTGAAAAAATCTCTGTATTGTTCCCTTGGTATTGAATTTATATTGACTACACTGTAAAAAATTAGCAGAGAATAATAAATTCGCATTATTCATTTATTACCATTAGATAAACTCCTTTTATGATTATGAGCGTAATCTACCTTTTTATAAACTTTGTTTTTCATCAACCTTGGCAAGAGTTCGTAACAAGTTGCAAATTAATATACTCTTGTACTGCTTTCTGCGTATATGAAACAGATAAAATCATAGACTAAAGGTTCATAATTGCCTGTTTTAAATAAAACCGTAACACAATACATCTTTCAACTAAGGATTTCTCCGATACATATACTCACATCCACATCACGTAGGATATCTTAGGTCAGGATTCGAGTATTTTCTGCCACGATTCGCAATGTGCCCGATTCCAACCAAGATCAACCCGATTCCAAGTAGATCTTCACATCCCTATCCGATGCACTACTTCTCTCCCCCCCCCCCCCCCCCCCC